AGAATTCAACAAGTAGGCATTCAAGAGTATATATATGTATATAGGCATCCAAGAGAATTTCACGGGTGGGCATTCAATTGTATATATATATATACATATGGGCATTCGAGAGTGTATACACGTGGGCACACAAGACTACATATATATGGGAATACACCAGCACTCTACAGGAAGTTGGTAAGCGGGAGTGTTAGCAAAAACAGCAGCCCTTCAAGCCTTGCATTCTGTTGCTGCGGATGTCGTTTTGCAGCGGCAGATGGGTGCTTCATCTCCGCTTGCAGCGAAGCTGCCTTTGCGGGTGCTGCTAAAGGCGAAAGGCAGCTTACAAGGAGTCTTTGCTGCTCGTGCAGCTTGTCTGCAAGCCGCTGGATGCAGAATTTCTTGGGGTCTACTAAAAAGTACTTGCACTGCGGCGTGTGGTCTATGTCGAGCCAAAGAGCATCAAAAGGAACTCCCACCGCATCTAACCCTTCAATAACTTCATTCGCTTCTTCCTACAAGCCAAATCGCAGCGCCCCAGCTGTAGTGACACCGAGAGTGCAGCACGGGCGGAGAGCGTGCTTGTGTGTGTGGGGTGGCCAACTGTCAAGGCTGCCCTACACAGAGGCTGCTATTCAGCGCCTTTAAAGTGTTTTTTTCGCTTTCACGCATGCATCGCTCAAGAGCGATGCATGCGTGTGTTGCAGACTCTTCTTCTGTCGGCTTCGCTGCGTGGGTGCGCTCTCTCGAGCTGCAGCTGCTCGCCTCACCTCGTTCTCGTAGCTCCACCGAGACTGGTGCTTCCCGAGAGCGCTCAAAGGAGGCATTAAAGGCAGCCCCAGTGCCGCATGCAGCTGCCTGTGGCAGTCCAGCGGAGAGACGCCGCAAAGGAGCAGCAAGTCGAAAGCTCCGCCTTCACTGCAGAACCAGCACCGCACATCGTCCTGGAGTGCAGACGCGTGCTGCTGCTGGCGCTGCTTAGGCTTTTCCTGCTCCTTCCCCTGCGTCTTTTCGTCATAGTTCACTCTGAAGAACGTCTCCGTAGGATTCAAAAGCGCAACAGCTGAGCAGCTTAGGGGCCCTTTGGGGGAGCCTCCTTCTGTGTGTAACGCGAAGAGAAGCGGCATGGCCGCGTATAAGGAAGAAGGGCTGTCAAAATCCCATTTGTATGCATCCACATTAAATAATCTGATAAAACGCAGCAATGCAGCAGCAGCAGCAGAAACAGTCGAGCAACGACAAATAGAGACTCCCCTAAATGAAGACCCCCAAAAGGAAACACACACAGACACACATGTGCCGACATACATGTAACACACATAAGTACAAACACCTGTACATATACATATACATGTATACATATAGATAGATATATATACATATATTTATGTGTGTATGTATATACACACACTTCTACATCCATCTATGCACACACCAATATATATATATATATATATGTATATATATATATAGACACACCTATATGCACAAACATACATGTACCTATGTATATATACATATCTATTCACCTATATGCACAAACATACACGTATCTATATACATATATATACACCTATATGCACAAACATACATGTACCTATGTATATATACATATATATACACCTATATGCACAAACATACACGTATCTATATACATATATATACACCTATATGCACAAACATACATGTACCTATGTATATATACATATGTATACACATATATGCACAAACATACACGTATCTATATACATATGTATACACCTATATGCACAAACATACACGTACCACTATATATATATATATATTCACCCATATGCACAAACAAACATGTACCTATATGTATGTATATATACCTCAGCATACAGCTGCCCACATTTGATAGATGCGTTCACAGAAGACGCACCCACACACTGGGTGAGCGAGCACAGCTGGGGGAGGCGTAATGGAGAAGCGTGAAGGCAACACCACAACGACGGTAGGAAGAAGAGGCACCAAGAAAGCTGAAGAGGACAGGGCAAGAAAGCAAGGTAAGCGAAGAATAGGCAACAGAAGCCACCAAGACACAGGAGCACTCCAAACTGCAGCGTCTTGTTCTCCAGATACAGCGGAGAGTCGAGATGCCCAGACGGAAACAAACACACGAGGAGGTGAGGGAGGCAGAAAGGCTGAATGCGGCAGACAGAAAGGCACCAGAGCGCAGAGAGAGACATCCTCCTCATCAAGCAGAAAGCATATACCGGTATGGTTCCTCATAGTTGGGGAGCTTGTAGGGGGCAGCATGCTCGAAGAGTCCATAGACACCGGAGCAGCTCTTGAAAAGAATATCGCAGCCGATGCTACATGCCCGCCAGAGGCGTTCCTTCTCTGCCCGCCTTTGCAGCTGCTGCGCATGCTGCAGCATCTGCTCAAGCGAGCCAGAAAGCAATGCAGCTAGCTGCTGCTCCTGATCAGACGCTAACTCGCGCTGTATCTCTTGAGCAAGGGAAGGGGGCACTTCTGGAGGATCTGCAGCAGCGAAGGCACTAGCCTCAGCCGAAGGCTGCCAGACAACATCTAAGGCATCCAGGAGCCTTTCGAATTCGGAGTCTACCGCTGGTGTTGCGACACAAGCCGTGATATCCTCCGTTGCCATTGTTGCTGCTGTTGTTGCTGTTGCTGCTGTTGCTGTTGCTGTTGCTGCTGCTGTTGCTGCTGTTGCTGCCTCTACTGCTGCTACTGCTGCTGCATCGGACGCTAAGTGCTGCTTCCAATATGCTGTCATCGCCTCCGCTGATGTTTGAGGAGCTGTTGGCACGCGAGCCATGCATGCTGTCGCTGCCGCAGCGGCAGCTTGCGCAGTAGCTGCCTTTTTTACCGCTGCTTCCGCTGCAGCTGCATAGCGTCTGCGCGCTTCTGTGAGCAGCTGGGGTGTCTCGCATGCAGTTTCACGACGGCTCTGAGCCTCTGCAGCAAGCGAATTCAGGGAGAAGCGCTTGCGTGGCTTCCTCTCCCTCTCCAGAGTCGCACGGAAAGTCGCTTCAGAGGTTTCGTCGCATATGTAGCCTTGAGGCACTTGCAGTTGCGGTTGCATTTTGTGTTGCTGCTGTTGAGTGCATGCAGATGAATCAACAACAACAGCAGTACCAGTAGGTATAGCCGCAGGAGGAGGAGGACTACCAGCAGATCCCCACTGTCTACGACTGCTACTGCTGCTGCTGCTGCTTTCCCAATTGAGCAGTTGCTGCGCGTTTATCTGCTGTATGCACCTGCCATTTACTTCTAGAGACACGGCAAAGGGTGTGTGATGCACGATAACGCGCAGAGAATAAGGCGACCTTCTCCTATCGCTGCTGCTGCTGCTGCTGCTGTTGCTGTCACCATAGGAGGGTGTTGCTGCTGCTGCTGTTGCGGAGTGTATAGACGTTTGAGGTGCTCGAATCATCGTATCGGACGGCAAACAGGCACGCCAGTCTGTCCCTACGGGCTCTCTGAAACTGTCATCAATTCTCGTTTCAGCACTGCTCTTCTCTGTCGCTCTTCTAGCTGCTGCTGCTGCTGCTTGGGTAGGCGGCAGAAAGGAGGCAGTAGCGGCTGTCATGTCTGCGTCTTGGTGAATCTGGCAGCTTCGCACGAGCTGTTGCTGCAGCTGCGAGGGGTTCAAGAGCAGCTCAGCGGCGAAAGATCTGCGCTCATGGCGTTTGTTCTCTCCATCTGGCGAAGGGTGTTGCTCTGCATGCTCGGATAGCCGCAAGCGAACAAAGCCTAGAGTATACAGCGCGACTTGCAGGAGCAGCAGCAGGCTGTCGCTTTGACGACAAATGGTCATGCAAAACGTCCATTCGTGGGGTTGCTGCTTCTCGCCTTGCACATGAAGACTCTGTGGGATTGCCTTGTATCGAGCCGGCAACTGCGGAGGTGTCTGGTGGAGCTGCTTTTCTCGTTGTCGCTGCTCTTTCTGCTGCTGCTCTTTCTGCTGCTGCTCTTTCTGCTTCCGCTCTTGCTCATGTTTCTGCTGCAGCTGCTGTATGAGGTGCGCATACACTTGGAACCTGTGGCAGAAGGGCGAGGCTCTCGCCGTTGTAATGAACGTGGAAGGCTTGTTGGCTGGCGGTGTCATCGCGCTGCCTAGGCGAGGGAGCACACGTGAAAAGAAGCCGCATGGCCTAAAGGATCACTAGATGACGTGAATACGCTTCAAAACAGTGTTATGTGCAAAGAATACGCGTATGTTTATATAAACGTTTCCCAGAACGGGTGTCTAGAGGGGCACAAACGCCACCAGCTCGCGCAGTTGCAGGCGGGAAGATTCGCTCGCAGTCGGCTGCGCCTCGTGGGAAAAATGTTTGAGCGCAGCAGCACCAGAGGCATCGAGCTGTGGCACCAAGCGCCCATCCTGTTTAACACTTTGGAATATATGCGATTGGATTGCAATTCTCTTTGTGTGTTGTAGAATAGAGGGGGAAAACTCGAGCGCTACGGAAGGAAGGCCTCCCCGTCTCGACGGCGGCAGACAGACTGTATGTGCCTGACGTGTCTTGGGAGGGGGGAGGGGGAGTTGAGGATTTGGAGGATTTAGATTTCCTTTCCTTTGCCAGCAGCAGGTAAAGTGCATGAACCTCGCGTAGAACGGTCCGAAGAGGAGCTGGGGGGAGGAATAAGCGTTTCTAGGTGAACCCTTGCAGCCAGATCTCCTCTTGCTGCTTGACAGTGCAGTGCAGGGGGAGGGGAGGGAGGAAGGGGGAGGCAAGCTCTGTTGGGAGCCTCTGTGCGCTGGAAATGCTCCTGTAGCCGGCTAACAAATGCATTTAATTGCGGGAGCGGTGGCTCAGGAAGCGCAGCGCTCCACACAGCCTCGCGAGCACGCGAATCACCACCATCCGTGCGAAGGGGGGTGGGTGCAGCTGGATTTATATTTGCATATGTATATACATGGGTATGATCGCATGCTTCTCCTTCCCAGTGCGCAATTCCAAGAGAAAGCGCAGTCTTTATTGTCAACAGCATAAGGCGGTGCTGCCTCCAGCCAGCAGGAGTCGTCGGCTATGGAAACGCCGTCTCAGTGCAGCAGCAGCAGCAGTGTGAGTGCTGAGGCGATTGAGTTTGATCTACGGGATGGAGGTCTCTTTGCTTCCCTCCTTGCATGTACTGCTCCCTCAAACAGTAAGAAGAAGCGCAGACACACGTCCCCGCCAGACATGCGGCAGCAGCACTATTTAAGCGGCGATTGCAGCAGACTTTCTCTGTGTGTTCATCGGAGCGTGCTTCCCCTGCTCTCTGCGCCCCACTGCGTTGCATTTCTTCTTCGCCCTTCTCCTTCAGCACACTTCGATCTTGAGTGAAAGTCTCCCTTGCTCTCTTGTGCCGCTTGCGTCGCACGTGCTTGCTCTCCGGCTGCTGGATCGCGACTGCCACTGCGCTCGAGGCGTTCGTTGCTGCTCTGCATGCGCATGCAGCACTCAACTGGGAAGGCGGCGCAGGTGGAGGCCGTAACAACAGCAGCAGCAGCAATGTCGAAGAAGTCGCAGACTGGCAGTGCCTTAGAGTCACCTTCGGAAGGGAGGGGTTGCTGCTGCGAGGCGTTTCTAAAGGTCGTGAAGTCTACGGCGAGTTGGTGCTTCCCGTTTCTTTTTTTGAGGCATTTGAGTATCAGAAGAGCCAGCAGCAGCAGCCGCAGCGGCAGGAAGAGGGGGAGTCCGTCTTAGTGCCTCTCAAGTCGTTTGTCAACGCTCTGCTTTTATTTGGCGAATCGGTAGGGAGTTTGTGGCGTCTCCTGTGAACAAGCAAGCTGCAGTCTGAAGAAGCTCTACAGACTGATGGGAGTCGACGGTGCTGCTCTGCACTAACTGCGAAAAGAAGGGTCCTGGGCTGGAGACTCCTGTTGCTGCTACTCTTATTGCTGTCGCTGCCGCCACGCTTACTGTTGCTGCTTGCGCGTCCGTTGCTGTGCCGTGTTTGCAGGCGCGCATGCGGCTCCGATATGCCTTCGGGGACGGCATGCTGCTGCTGCTGCTGCAGCAACAACAGCAGCAACAACACCATCTGCAGCAAGTCTACTCTGAGATAGCCATCAGAACATATGCTGCAGGCGATGTGAGGCTGGCAGAACGGTAGAGCAACCCTCTGAAGCGTCTGTCTCTCTCGCAGTCTTTGCAGCTGCGGAGAAGAGGAGTAAGACTCCTGCTGCAGTTTCGCTTGCTTCGGTGTTTTTGTCGCTGCTGCAGGCACTCCCCATGTCTCTGTCTATCAGTGAGGCCTTTGAGCGCAGCGCTGAAGACTGTCGAGATTTCCTCTCAGTCAACGTGAGGGGCAGTCGTGCTTGCCGTTGGCGCTGTTTGGCGCTGCTGTTGCCGCTGCATCGTGTGTGTCTCTACAGCTGTTCAACTGGGGGTGATGGCGGGTGATTCTGCAGCCGCAGCTGCTTCGAGAAGTGCTTCAGGAGCTTCTACTCGTGGAGGAGGACGCAACTGCGCGCGTAACTGTGGAGTGGCATCCGCCTTCACCGACTGGCCTCCAAAGTGAAAATGCAGCAGCGGAGGCAGCAAAAGCAGCAGGAGACAGTCCAAACGCTGCTGCATCGTCACTGAGCTCCGCATGCGTAGAACCGCCGTGTGTGCTGCGCAACAAGACTAAGGAGACAAGGAAGCAATCAGCACCGCTCATGACGCTCGTAAGGCTTTTTTCCTCCTCCTGTGTGCTTGCCTATGACCCCTGTCTCAATGTTTAACATCACACTGCTGGAGGGGTGCCTTGTGCGACACCTGCGCTGTTTGCGAAGACTGTGCAGGGCCTAATGGCGCATCGAATCTCCTTCTGCCCTACCCTCACTGCGTTTCCCAGCTACATGGTCACCAGAAATCACAGGCAAGGCCTTAACCAGCAGCACAGCTGCATGAGGGGAGTGCAGCAGGGGAGTCGGTTGGCTGCGGGGATGTCTCTTAGTTCGCATTGTGCAATTAGAGGCTCCACGCGCTTGCTGGACGTTCACACTGCACCACGAAGTGACAACAGCGATGCTGCGACCTAACTAATGAATTTCTAGTAAAGACATTAGCTGTATAGTCGATGTCAATTCTTGATCATATATATGTATATATATGTATAAATATATATATGATGTAATCCAAGGACTCACCACACCAAGAGACAGTGCGAAATGGAAATGAGCACTTCCATGAAACAAGTATCGTGCAGAGCACCATCATCTAGGCTACAGAATGCCTGGTTCTTCTTACATACTCTCGTATGAGCCATGCTAGCAGGGGCCGTTGCTAAGGCAGCTGCGAAATGCTGCAGTAAGGGATGTCATGGTGTGCTGTGTTCAATACCCTCCAGGCATGAGTTTACGTTGACTGCCCTGCAGTCTCTTATCCCTCCTCTCAGTGAGAGCACACATCTCTCATCGACGCCTCTTGATTGACTTGGACCGACTGCTCGCTCACTCGCTCACGTGGTTTCCTCGGCGCAGAACAAAATGCTACTCTGCTGCACGTATCCTCCTAATGTTACACCCCTTTATTCGAGTGTCTCCTTTCACGCCTTCTGATGCGCACTTTGCTGCTGCCGCTGCCACAGAGACAGCGCAGGGTCTACGCCTCGAGTTCTCCAGTGAAGGCTTTCTACTGGCGCTATTCCGATACAAGTGAGGGCGTAGGAGGTGTACTGACTATGCCGATACGCAGTGACTTGCGGACGCTGTGTTACCACCCCGTTGATAAAGTGTGGCGGCAGCGGCAGAAAAGGAGGCCTCTGCGAAAAGCGAGCGAGGAAAAGCAGCTGGACAGACGTGCTCAAGGAGAGCAGAGATGCACGGAAAGGTGACTCCCACCAACCAGTTTTGTGTGTTGGATGCATCCGCTCAGGTCAGATGAGACAGCGCTTTTTCTGCGGTATCTGTTGTTACCATGTGCCACCCTGGCAACGTCAGAGGTGCCCTAACGAGCTGCAAACAGTGCGTCTCGTGGAATGCACGATGCTGCAGAGCTGCGAGAGACACTTCGTACTGCTTTGCTGTGTTATGAGTAGCGGCGTGCGAAACGGGCTGCCACAGCGGACGCTACACTGCTACAGCAAAACAAAACGTGTCTGCCGCTGTCAAGACTAGAGCCTGAGTTCTAGTTTACTCCTCTGCAAGCGCCGCCTGCGCTACTTCTGTTAGTGTGGCTGTGCTTGCAAGTAGTGGTGGGTAGAGATACGTCGGTGTATTGGCTACTGCTGCTACAGCTCCAAGCAGCAGCTGCTGTTCTTGGCTGCTGTTAAAATTCCCTAGGAGAGTAAAAGCCCTGCCTAGGAGCACGATCAGCAGGAAGAGACTCTGTTTCTGCTGGCGGTGCTGTTTCTGCTGGTGAGGCCTGTGATGCATCGACATCTGTAAGTAAAAAATTGACACGGGGAGTCTCCATACTCCTGGCTGTCAGCATCAGGCTGCTGCTGCTGCGAGCGCTACGGATGCTCTGGCTGCTGCCGCTGGAGAGGTGGCTAGGGAGCCTCTCATCCCCGCTGCCATTGTTGCCGCTGCTTCTGCCCGAAACGCTGAAGGGGGAGACAAAAGACATGCGACTTGAGGCAGAGGACAGGGAGGCGAGTGGAGGAGAGCCGTGTTGTTGTTGCTGATCTTGGTGCTCTGGTTGCCCTTGTTGTTCTGGTTTCTGCTGCGGCTGGACTGCTGCTGCTGCGTCGTCTTCGATTGTTGGTACTGCCGGAGGCAAGGGGATGTTTCCTTCCTCTTCCAATCTCGAGGACGGTAGAGAAGCAGTGCGCGTAAGCGCTTGACCGGTGTCTTTGCTTTCTGCATCAAAACGACTGGCAGATTCTGACTGTGGCTGCTGCTGCTGCTCAATCTGCTCTTCCCGTGTGTTTTCTTCCTGCTGCATGTTAGGAGCCTCAGCGCGGTGTGCATCCTCCTCTGTGGGGATGCAGGTAGCCGGCAGCGCTGCTGCGAGGGTGGGGTTTGTGTTGCTGCTGGCAGGGAGGCCCTCAGAGGCCCCCTGTAGAAGTACGTCTCCCGAGTTTGAATGTGCTACTCGCGGCGATAGCAGAGGGCTGGGAGGCAGGGGAAAATGGAGAGTTTCAGGCGCTGGCTCCGGCAGCAAACCCCCCCACAGTCCATCTAGAGCATCCTGTGCTGATCTCAAGAGAGACAGAGACGACGATCGCGGCTTCGAGAGGGGTCTTTCAGAGGCCTTTGGCTCCGTAGCGTTCGGAGACGCTGGTAAATCACGCGGAGAAGAACGACATGGGTAACCAGATTCATCAATTACGACTGTCGGGAAAGCCTCCTGAGAGGAGGTGACTGTGCTGCTGCAGTACGGCGTCTTGGCGCTGCTGCTGCTGCTGCTCCAACTGCTGGTAGAGGTGGTGGTGTTTTGGGTGGGGTCTGCAGCAGCCCTTCCGCTAGAATGGAACTGGAGATGAACCATCTGCCCTGTCGGCAGTCTGCGCGTGTCTCCACCAGCACCACCCTCATCTCCACAGCCGCTGCTCCTGTTGTTGCTGCTGCTGATTTTCTTGCCCCCAGCATCTACGTACTCACCTACGTAGACGAGAGAAGGCCTGAGCGGGCTGCTCGGACGGCTACTTACAGAGAGGAGACGGTAGCTTAGGGTTGCTGCAATACATACAACAACAACGGTAGAGGCGCCAGCCGCAGCAGCACCGCGAATGCGTCTTGGCAGTGTTACGGGAGTTGCAAAAACAAGAGCAGCAGAGTGGCCCTGTATGTATATATACATATAATGTATACGCACATGTTCACAAATATATATGTATTATGCTTGTAGATGATCATTCACATATATAAAGGAACCAGAATATATAAAGAAAGGCTCGAGGGCTGCAAGGGGGAGAGAGAATAGAAGACTGCGGTCCAGCAAACTTAAAAGAGGTTCTTTGCAACCCTGCACAGGGGAATGAATATGTGGGAGAGAGTAGCGGGGGAAACTGTTGCGGGGATGTCAGGGAACTGGTTTCACCTCGCTGCTTCAGAATCGCCTCCTGATGCGTCACCTGGAGAACGAACATTGGAAAAAGACGCGCAGGAAGGAGGAAACCAGCGAAGGAAGTCACAACACTCGTATTAGAGTAACCCGGCAAAACACACTCAAACAACCTGCGGCCTCCCCCCCTTCGCACGCAGGTGTGTGGTGGCACCACACTTTGCAGCGCCTCAGCTGAAACATGTGCTTGGAGCACGGCAAGCCGCATCAGCAGCAGCTTAATGAAGGAGCAACAGCAGGGTGTACGACACTTTCGAAGCGCATACAGGGAGCAGCCAGAAGGGGAGAAGCAGGAGCAGCCGCCCCTGCATGTAGCCACTTACGTTTCGTCGACGTGAACCACAACACCCACACACTTCCAGACAGCGGACTAGCATCGTTCTTTGGCAGAAGTGCTCTTACTCCTACGGATGACGAAGACGCCTCTCGCCGCTTCTAGAGCCAAGGCTACGACCCACAAAGAGCTGCTGCTGCGTTCGCCGTTCCCCATTCAAGAGCCGTGCTGCATGCGTCCGTGCATTTGAATGCCCATTCGTCATGCGGTTTCATCATAGGCATCGTTTGTAGAGGCAGCTAGCAGCTGTCGAGTGTTCCTGGTGAGACAGCAGGACCAGTATCGACAAGTTGAGGCGCGCCATAGGAGAAGAGCAAGGCATCAGGAGCCTCCCTCTCGCGCTAAATCACTTTACATGCGATTTAATGCCTGTAGGACTGCTCTGAGCCGTTGGAAGGAGGGGGCTCTTGAGGCAACGCACCAGCGACGTCGCGAGTACGATTGGGGTAGTCGCTGCGGCGGCAGAGAAGGGAGCTGCCCGTTCTTTTTGCGAGTTGTCTCCCCTGTTAACAATATGAGACGCTGCCTAGGATGCGAAAACGATGAAACTCAAAGATTCGCGAGAAGCCGCATGGCAACAGACATATTACACCCCGAGTTGGCGACTGCGCATACCGCTTGAGCTTCAGCGCCTGCCAGAGAGAGACCACCGGAGCAGCAGCGGCCGTGCGGTATGCGGCAGTTCACCCGCTGGAAAACGGCCCTGAAATTGGTGGAGAAAAGGGCTTTACTTTGTAATTCTGTTCCTTATGTTGAGGGATCTTAAAATGGAGCCTCGAGCTCCTTGACGCTCACGCAGAGCCGCAGCAGCAGCAGAAGTACTGTGTCACTGCTGCTGCTGCTGCGCCTGCCTTAGCTTCTGTCCACTAGACGCATGTGATGTGCAGCGAAATACACGCAGCACCAACACTTGCAGTTTCAACCTCTCTTTTCCTGCAATAGCACCAATCGTTCCATTTAAGGGGAGCGCCAATTTTACGTGTGGCTTGCTCCCGCTGCTCCCGTTCCCGCTGTGTGTGTTGGTGCATCGGCGCGCTCACAGTACTGCAGCCGACTACTAGGCGCGATCGTGGGGAAAGTGCAGCCGCAGTCGAGGCAACACCCGCCACAATTTCATGATCCTAGCAAAGTGAGAGCTTTTGTGCTCAGTATCCAGCGTCAACTCGAAGCTACAGACTGCAGTCGCCGCAGCAGCGACGATCGCAGCAACAAAGGCCTCTTCCACAGTATTCGCGATTGGCGGTTCTGTATCCTCCGCCTTCTACGGGGAGCCTCGCAAACTACACTGGGAGTTGGCTCTGTATCTGACGCTGAAGCAGCACACACGACTCTTTTCATGTGTTGCGGCTGGCTGCTACGGCGTCGACAGCTGCGTGTGCTGCGCAGAGAGGGCCTCCCAAAGGAAGGTATGGGAGACAGCACGGCCGCCTTCTCAAAAGGCCTCTTCGAAATCCTGGATATCAGAGAACAAATCATTGGAATTTTTGCGGCAGCTGGGGTGGAGGTGTTTAGAGAGCAGAGAGTTCGCAGTAGAATTCCTGGAAACCGTCTCCTCCAGGCGCAGCAGCACTCCAGGAGGCCCCGTGGCTGCAGCATCGAACTACTGGCGCTCCAGGTGTATATACAGCTGCGACAGCAGGAGCAGGAGCAGGCGGAGAAAGAGCAGCAGTTGCTGCTGTTGCTGCAGATGCACCTGCTTCTGCAAGGCAAGGAGCCACGGGTGACCCTCCACCGGAAGCTTTGTCTGCTGCTAACTGGAACGCAGGCAGGCGGCGTCTTTTCTCAGGTGTATAGCCTGCCCGAGACAGACTCGCTCGCCGAGGCATACCCTCCCGGAAGCAGAGAGACAGCGGATAGGGGAGGTGGCATCATCAGCCCTTTCTGCGCAGAATGCCTCCAGGCAGCTTGCCGTCATCCTCTGGAGCCGGCAGCAGCTGTCCATGCCTCCCCGCTACTGCTCGAATGAGCAAGCCGATTTGGAGTTCTTCTAGCCCCTCAGAATATGATGGAGGGGGCAGCTTCTGCAGCCGCTTTTGTCGCAGCCTTGACTGGTGCCTCTCGGAGTGCCTTTGCCCCCCCTTTGACGTGGCGTTCAAGCGGCGACTTCGGCAGCAGCTGCGGCTCGTGCTGCTTTTCTTTGTCCTAAGCACCATTGCCGCGGCGTATCCGTTCGCCTTCCTCTCCCTAGTCGAAGCGCAATATCCTTCTATTCGGCCTTTGCACCTACCCGATGTCAGTGCATCTGCTGCTGCAGAGAGAGGGGGATATCTAAAGACCACTCGGACTGAGGAGCCGGCGCCTCCTGCTGCCTTGCGTGCAGCTGCCGCACAGCCCGCCTCTGCGATGGCACTGATTATGTTTGTTCCCCCTAAAACAGAACACCTCTACAGCTTCGACCGCGGCTTGCTCTACGCGCTGCTGTACTGGGGCCTCCTGCTGCTCGTGCCTTGCCAGGCGCTTCTTCTGCTCGTGGCAGTGGCTGTCTCTCAGGCGGGAGACAGAGCCTTAACCGACGAGCCTCACAAAGGCCGAGACTGCGCCGCTCGCCTCGTCTCCGTTAATTCGAGGTGGCTTACGTTGAACAGTTGCTTGTGTTCCCCCTCGCTGGCAGCCTTGTGCTGCGTGAACCTCTCGGCTTTCTTCGCAGCAGCGCCGTCACACCGACTGCAGCTAGGCATGGCGGTGTGGACTCAGCTAGCGATCAGCCTCCTCATACACTTCCCTCTTGGAATCCATGTTCGAAATGCAGTGAAACTCTTCGAGGGAGCTGCGGCCCTCCAACTCCTGCAGCATGCGCTCGAGGCAGACCACCGTCTCTCTGCCGCCGTGATGCTTCCCAGCAGAGCGCCTCCCCCGCAAGGTGCAGCAGGCAAGGAAAATCACGACGAGCAGGCTCAGGACCAAGAGCAGCAGCGGCGACACCTGCACCAACAGCAAGTGGATGTCGCTGCTTCTGAAAAGCTCAGGAACAACCCCCTTGGGGGGGGCGGCGTCAGACGTCTGCTGCATGCCTTTGTCGAACAAGAACGCCTCGTCTCCACGCAAGCAGAGCAAGAGACACAGCCCCTCCTGCAGGATGCAGCGCAGTCTCCCTCTGCAGAGGACGACTCTGCCGTCGTTTGACTCCGCAGAAGAGCAGCTAGCAGCTTACCCCTCCCCCCCTCAGTTTCACATCTTCCCAGCTTGAAGCCAGTGAACCGGCGCAGACACACACACACACATACACACCGAGGGGCTTCCCCCCTCCACCCCACCCCCACGTCTTCCGCATCGTATATGGCTATTTTAGACACTGACGTGCGAGCTAGCTAGCCAGCGAGGACAGTGAGGTGGTAAGCCAGTGGTAATAACCAGCATATCTGGCGCAAGAGATTCCTGTGTAGGCAGCATGCCATTAAGCCCTAGCTAGCTAGCGAGCGGTGAGCAGCTACCCAGCTGGCGAGCTGCTGCCTAGCCACATGGCGTGGCAACGGCACGCCTGCGTTTACCGGCGTGCTACAGATTTAGTAATTTTCTTTGCGGAGACAAAGAGCCATCAAGGCTTCGCAGTGGCATCCCAGGTGTCCAGTCAGTTTCGTTTCGTAGGAGAACACACTACTCCTGTGTAGACCCCCTACCCTCACCAGCAGCAGGATTGCATTCCGAATAGTGTCAGGTGCAGCCTGAAAGGCCGACTCTTAACAACACACGAAGCTTTCGGGAAGAAGGTGCAAAGGGCTAGCCTCTTGTAATGTGCGTGCATGCAGCGCCAAGTTTAGCCGCAGCAGCAGTGAGAGAGAGAGACAGATATGTGCGAGAGCCATGAGCGACAGTAGCAGTAGGTCTTTCACACGCCGCCAAGAAACTAGAGGCTTTACAGATAGGAAATAACCTGTTAAGCGCTATTTTGTCCACGCTGCTCCCTGGATGCTGCCGCAGCTGCTTTGACGTCTCGCCGCAGTTGAAGCAGCAGCTGCTGCTCCTGCTCCTCCCCTTCCCATGCCCTCCGAAGATACTGCTCACTGTCGGCATGCGAAGCGGTATCCTCGCGATTTCGCGTCTGCCGGTGCTGACGCCCGTGCTGCACTGCAGCGTGCAGCGAACTGTGGTGTACAGGCAGCTGCTGCTCAGCAACTAGAGAATACGGGGAGTCACCCGCCCTTGCAGCGCCAGATATACCGCTGGCACTGCTACCCCTGCTAGTGTTACTGCTACGCCAGCGCATCCTACGACTGCTATCGTCACTACGAGCTCTCATCCTGCCGTGGCGTTGCCCGCTGCGTGTGCTGCTAACACTCTGACTACTGCTCTGCGTTTCTCTGCTACCTGTGCTCAATGCGCGGCGATGAGAAAGCCGTATGCGCTGCTGCTGCTGCTGCTCCCCATGGCTGGAAGGAGGCGCACTCAACTCGGAACGAGTCACAGAGTGGCTTCTGCGCAACCGGCTCCTTCCGCTGCTGCTGCTGCTGCTGCTGCTGCTGCTGGTGTCGAAGATCTCCGGGTGCGTCTGTCTGAACGGAAGGTGGCTGCTGCGCCGTCGAGAAGGCGGAGAGGCAGCAGCTCTGCTGCCTTTTCGTCTGGTGCTGGGGATGTCGCTTTTGCCCGTGTTGATGCCTTCTGGTGCTTCCTCGAAGCGCCGTGCAGCCTCACTGCGAAGTGCTGCTGCTGCCGCAACGGCAGCAGCAGCAGCTGCTGCAGGCACCGATGGTGTGTCTTCTTCTAGATCCTCGAGGTGCAGCGAGTGCTTGGGGATGGTAAAGGACGGCATAGCGGCCTGCTGCTGCTGCTGCTGAAGTTGTTGGTGCTGCTGCTGTTGCTGCTCTAGCACCTGCTCTTCTGCAGTGTGCGCAGAGGCTTCCACGAGGAGCCGCGGCTGCAGCTGCGCCTCCTGCTGCAGGTGCTGACGCCACCGTTGCTGCAGCAGCATAGGCTGTTCAGTGTCTTGTGTCTGCGAGAGGAAGGCTTGTCTAGAGAAAGACAGGCTCAGAGCTTCATCCCGCATCAGCAGCAGCTCCTGCTGCTCCTGCTGCTGCGGCTCTTGTTGGTGTCGTGACGCTGCGAGTGAAGGTTGCTGCAGCGCATCATCGTCTGTTTCTGCTGCAGCCGCTGCTCCGGAGGTGTCAATGTACTTCCAACGCAGCCTTTGCGAGGGCTGCTCAACGACGCTCTGGCCGTCGTAACTGTCGCTGCTGCTTCCGTCGCTGGTGGCGTGCTGCTTGTTGCCACTGCCACTACTGCTGCTACTGCCACTGCCACTACTGCTGCTGTTGCTGCTGCTGCTGCTGCTGAAGGAGGTGGCGCGCCGCTTTTCCCCTGCACGCGCAGGCGGGGGAAAAAAGGCGAATGGCTGCTGCAGCTGCTGCTGTTGCTGCTGCTGCTGCGCTGTGCTGATGCGTTGGAGAACGGCCCTGAGGAAAGCGATCGCGGGAAGTTTAAGAAGGCAGATGTGCGGAGATGCAAAAAAAAGGCAGCAAAAGCAGCAGTCGCAACAAGAACAAGAGCAACCCTTCCCCCTCCACCCACTCTGCACAGACTGCGGAGTCAAAAGAGTCTTACTGGCGCGCAGCAGCTCTGTGTTTGGCGGCTGTAGCCCAGTACACAAGAAGCCTTCGCATCTGCTGTTGATACTGCAGCTTCTGCTGCTGCTGCAGCTGCCAGAGCACCGCTTGGCGCAGCTGCTGCCGCCGCAGCACAAGGGCATGCCACGCATGCAAGGCTGAGCGCAGCAGCGCAGCAGCACCTCGCTGCTGTCTTTCTTGGAGCAGCTCCTGAACTTGCGCTGACGCCCTTTGCAGCTTGCGATTTTGAGCAGCGTATGTTCGCCAGAAGATCACAATGCGAGCTGCAAAGGAACAGAGCGGCTCTAGGCACACACAAACACTCAATTGCATGAGGCACGCTGCAGAAGCCTTACCGCGCACAGACAACCCCCCTGCAGCGTCGGCGGTGTATGGACAGCACTCTCGCTCGCAGCTATCGTGAAAGCTAAGCAAAGCGCACAGCTCCGCAGACGGAGGAAAAATACCTACAGAGATGTCTGGTATACTGCAGCATGAGAAAGTGCTGCAGCAGTGCGTTCACTGCCCTTGCGTAGCGAAAAACGGAAACCCAGTGATGCCACAAGGAATGCAACAGAAGCGAACGGTGCTTTTGATGCACTTTCGCTGCAGCAAGGCCTAGTCGCTCTCCCTTTGTTGCAGCAGCCACCATATGCTGTAAACACAAGTGCAGCACGCGCTGGCGTTGCTGCTGTCTCAGCTGATGGGTGCATGCGCGAAAGAACTTCTCTCTCCGCGCGAAAAGCTGCCACCTCACGAACGTCTCGGCTTGCTGCAGAAAAAGAGAGAGCAAGAAAAATACAACAGCTCTCGCAGCAGCAGGTTTGCAAAGGGGAAGGCTTGAACTGCGCGAGAAGGCATAGAGAGGAGGGGCCTCTGAGTCGAGCCGCAACGCAAAGTACGTCTACAGAACAAACCATTGGCAGATATTTTTTCTCAACGAAGCTTCCTAGAGGCAGCAGCAAATGCAGCAGCAGACACGGCCACTTGTACCAATAGCAGCAACTGCAGCAGCTAGCCACCTGTCGTTGCTGCAGCTGTCTAAGAAAGCCTTCAGCTCTCACAAGACACCACGCCCTCCACTCTTCTTCCTGCTGCCGCTCGTGCAGACGCAGCAGCACGCGACGCATGCGCCACTGTTGCTGCAGCTCGAAAGCTTGTTGCTGCAGCATCGCATCGTCTCGCTTCTCCTGAAACAGTAGATACCACGCAGCAAGCACGTGGCGAACTCGCAGCTGCTGCAGAAACTTCGTAGCTGCGCTCTCATACTGCTGCCGCCGTGTCGCCTCCTTCCAGATTTGCAAGCAGCTCTGCAGCAGCTGCTGCGGTTCTCTCTGCACGCGCAGCTGCTGCAGCGTTGCAGCTGTCGCAGCCGCATGCATCCGTCTCGTGGCAAAGACGTGCCAACCCCTGAAGGAAGTCTGCAGACACCTCAGTTCTCGCCGTTCTGCGCTCGCAGCAGCAAACGTCTGCAGCCGCTCTTGCTGCTGCGCATGATCGTGCATGCGCTGCAACACCATATTGCACTGCGATTCAACCTGCCTGCAAGCAGAGGGAAGCAGCAGCAGAGGCAGCATCGACGCACACGGACACACACACATACAGCGATAAGACAGCTCGAACATACATACGCGTATGCACATACCTATACACACACGTATGTACATGCATATATATGTATATACATGAATATACATGTATGTATAGGCACATGTATATGCGTCAACCTGGCGAAAAGGGGTTTGCAAGGTAACTACTGGAATTTCTTCGGGTGTACTTCCACTGCCGCAACGTGGTGCCCCTCATGCATCTTTTATGCTAAATTTTTGAGCGAATTTTGATCTGCCAGTCTCCTCCCTCCCCCTTTCTCCTTCTTCCTAAGCAAAGAGAGTCCTTTCTTCCCACGGTGCTAACTCAAGGGATGGAAGTAGTTTGCGCTTCGACCTGCCGCCGCTCTTTCGACATGCAACTCTCCCCTTCCTCTCATTTTTTCCGACGCTGCTTACTGCTTCGTCTGCTGCAGCCGATTTTGCAGCTCTCGACCAGCTGCGGCTCGCAGAAGATGCTGCAGCTTCTTCGAGAGGAGGGCACGCTGATGCAGACACTGCAGCACCTCCCGTTGCTGCTGCTGCTGCAGCCGATGAACGCATGCAGCCAACAGCAGCACGCTGCGCGACAAGGAAGCGGCGAATCGCAGGGCGTAGAACGCATGCTGCTGCAAACGCTGCCTGCGCATGCAGCACACCTGTGCGAGCTGACGCCACACATGCAGTGTTCCCCGTTGCTGCTGCTGCTCGTGCTGTCGGCGAAGCAAACGCATGCGAAGCTGTCTCGAGGCGTACATCTGCAGACTCTGCAGCGGAACAAGCAGCACCAGAAAAAGTTGCCGCTTCCCCTTCTGCTGCTGATACGCCTGGAATAATGCTGCGGCTGCCGAAGGTAAGGGACTGAGAGAGACGCTTACGCGAAGGACTGCAGCAGCAATCTGCTGCTTGCGCTGCTGAAGCGCATGTCTCGCCAACAGCTCCATTAGTGCCTGTCGTTGCTGCAGCCAACGCCACTGCGTGAATGCATGGAGCAACAATCTGCAACGCAACACACGCATAATAAACACACATACACACACACATGCACCCTAGTACGAACATGGGCGTGTACATATACATATATGCATATATTTACATATATACATATATGTATGTATATGTAGACGCCCTTCTTCACACACACATTCTCCCCACATCACACAAGGAATTTTTCGTGAGCCGCGACTGCCTCCTTGAGAGCCGTTGCAGGTAGACTGGCATTTGCACACGCGGGAGCAGTTTTCGTAAATAGCAGAGCACCTGCGGGAAGACTTTTGCTGCACTGCAACGGCAGCGTGCTGCGCAGATGCTGCATGCCTCCAAGAAGAGAAGAAGGCGGCAAGGCGTCGCTTCCTGCAAGTTGTGAAGCAGCAGACTTCTACGGCTCGGCGTGCAGCTGCCTGCAGCAGGAGGAGCAATGCGCAGCAGCAGCGACGAAATCAGCAACGCGCAGAGAAGAAGGTGGATCATCATCGCCTTGCTCTCTCTCTATCCCTCTGCAGATCCCTCGTGAGGGAAGAGTCTTCTCCTAAGAAGAGAGAGAGAGACATAGGCAGCTGCTGCTACACCCGCAGACGTAGAACGCATGTTATACCTCGCGTAAAGCCGTGAGCGTCTTGCGCGCAGCAGCAGCAGCCCGTCTTCGCAGCAGTTTCTGCAACTTAAACGCGAGACACCACTGCCTTATACACCTCATTGCTAAGAGCTTGCCATATGTGCCTTGGAGCATGTACTGCTGCTGCAACTGCTGCAGCTTCTGCTGCCTCTGCTGCAGCCTGGCAGCTGCCAAGTCTTTCCAGACGGCAAACACGCGATTCAAGCGCAACAAAACTGCTGCTGCAGCGCCCACGGATCGCAGAGAAGCTGCACGCCGTCGCTGCATCAGCAAAAGTCGCCAGCGCTCAAACACCTCGTGCTGAACGCGAACCTGCAACACAGGGAAGCGACGAACACAAAATCTCAGAATACATGTGCCACCTCCATTTCCGTCCTTCCCTGCAAGTTGCTAAGATGGCGTTCGAAACATCGGCTGAAGCGGATTCCTATACGCACGATAGGTTTCTCTAAACACGCACTAACTGCGTTCTTTTGCATGCCTGCATGCTGCAGCAGCAGCGACAGCACCAAAAGCATAACAGCAGCTGCTGCTGCACCTGCTGCTGCATCTGCTGGTGCTGCGGCTGTTGCAGCATGCAACGAAAGTGTATGGTCCACAGCGACTGTTAGTTTTAGGAAGTGGGCAATTGTGGCATAGACGCACAGCATGCTGAACAGTTGCACAGGCTTGACACCACTCGAGACGGCGACGCTGGTTGACTGCCAACAGCAGCGCAGCTAATGCACGGTGCTGAGTCTGCTGCTGAATTTTGACGCTGAACGCATGCAGACGGAGCTGTTTCCAGCCGTGACGGAGCAGGGGAAGCCGCTGCGCTAGAACTGCAGTGGCAGCCAACCGGCGTGCGTGAGTACAGACACGCCAAGCCTGCAGCATGCGCTGCTGCTCCTGCTGCTCATGTCGACGTCGCAGCTAAGACGCACAGCACAAAAGACACACAGCAGACGCATGCAGTGCGAGTGCCAGCACAAAACAAAGGACAGTCGCAGCAACGCGATGCGCAGCAGCGGCGACTTTTTCGCAGTCGCAAGCGCATGAGGAGTTAAAAAGGCTGTTTGCTTTTGAATAATTGCTTAGTACCTGACACTCAAGACGCTGCAAACGCGCTGTCTCCATCCAAGATCTGAGCGTTTCCGTGCAGAGACGTCTGATGCGCAAGGCTTCGGCAGCAGCAGCTGCACGCCGGAGATGCTGTCGCTTTCTGCGGCAGGCAGAGAAAAAATAGTGGCAGTGGCAGCTTTCTTTCTTTGTGCCTTCCAGAGGCAGCACCTGCCAGCAACACAGCGTCCACCCCCTCCCTTCCTGGCTCCTGCTTCCCTCTCTGAAATACGAAGATGAGAAAAGCCAGAAAAAAACGACTTACAACGTCTGGAGCCGCCATGTTCGAAGCGTTATCACCCCGAAATGCTGCTGCTGCCGCTGCTGCACTGCATGAGTAGCAGCAACATACCGCTGAAGACGAGGCTGCGCCTTCGCACGCCAGCTCGAAAACAAGCGACGCAGTTGCTGGCTGGCCATGTGCTGCACTGCCGCAGAAGCCGCCGCTAGACGCTGTTGCTGCACTTCCTGCAAGCATCGCCACACTGCGTGCTGCATCAGCTGCTGCTGACGCTGCCGTAGACACTGCATGAGCTGCTGCTGCTGCTGCGTTCGCAGCAAATCGGTTGTTTTGTAGTATTTCCAGGAGCGAAAACACCGTTGGACTTGCCGAACTGAATGCCAAGCAGCTGCCAAGAGCTCTCGGGGAAGTGACAGCTTCCACTGAGGACTGCTGCTGCTGCTGCTGCTGCGGAAGGCGACTTGCTGCTGCTGCTGCTGCTGCTGCTCCGTGGCGCTGTCGGGAAGTGTGTGTGTATCGACCTCGCCGACGTGTTGCGGAAGGATGAGAGACTGACTAAGGGGCAGCAGCAGCTGGTGACGCTGCGAGAGGCAGCAGCCTTCCTTTTGGAAGGCGTCAATGCATGCATCCAAGGCTTCAGCATGCGCTGCAGTTGCGCCAGTGGGAGCTGCTGTTGCGACTTCCCTGAGGAGCAGCAAAATCGCGCAACTGCTGCGGCGAGAAGTCAACAAGTCCTCTGGATCTGCGGCAGTAGAATCTTGCGAGCTCCACAGAGATTCGGCTGGAGGCTTCTCAGCCTCAGCGCCTCCTTCACGGATCTTCTCCTTCTTCGCGTCATCAGATATCCGCGCACTGGGTAGCTGCAGCAACCCTGGGGAGAGCAGCTGCTGCTGCTGCAGCTGCTGCTGCTGCTGTTGCTGCTGCAGCTGTTGCTGCTGCAGCTGTTGCTGCTGTTGCATGACAGCAGACGGAGGGGCAGCAGTCGATGGCGTTGCTTCGAACTGCTGCGTGCAAGCCAGCTCGCCAGCTAGCGAGTGCAGGAGAGCACGAGGTATGAGAGGAAGGTGAGCGGATTGCGTGTCTTCTGGAGACGCTTCAGGGAGCAGTGGCAGCTGCAGCGGCAGGAGCAGCAATGCGCGAAGCAGCCGTAATCGCAGCAGCTGTTGTTGGCGCGCATGCGCTGCCAGCGCGGTAAACATCCATCTCATCTTCCGCAGTTCCGCCTTCGCTTGAAGACTCTCTGCAGAAGCAGCAAAAGCAACAGCAAAAACAACAGCAACAAAAGCACAGGCTGTGGTGCAAGGATGCGTCTTGGCTCTGAAGATGATTCTAAAGGCCCCTCCTTTTGTACCCCGACGCAGGTAGAGGCAGGCAAGTTGGAAGAAGAGGAGATTGCAGCAGCAACTACAACTGACAAGCAAGCAAGCCAGCGCGAAAGGCTGCAAGCGACTGGTACGCTGCAGATATATGCATATAATATATATACCAATGTATATCAATATATGTTTATTTATACATATCTCTATCTATCTACCCACCGCCAATGAGACGGCGCTGCTTCGCCGCTACAGCCGCAACGTGCCACTCGTGCAGCAGGAGGAGGAGCAGTCTCTTGTTGCTTTCTTGCTGGAAGGCTGCAGCGTTCTGCTCCTCTTGTAGGGGTCGTAGCAGCCGCTGTAGCCAGGCAACTAACACTTTGTGCTGCAGTCGCATACCCCATACAAGCTGCCACTGCTGCTGCAGCTGCTGCAGGCGATCCTTGAGCTCGCGCTTTTGTTGCCTTTGCTGCTGCTGAAGATGCCACGCTTGGAGCACGCTCTTCAGCAGCTTCTTGTGCTGCTGCATATCCGCAGCCACTGCCTGCAGCTGCGCATGCAAGAGGCATACACCAGCAGCGCGCACAGAGACACTTGACAGCCTGCATGCAGCCCTTGACTCCTCCCCACACTGCCGCTTCGGCTGGTTGTGATATACAATGCAGAAAAAGAGTCAACTGAAAAAACGCACCATTTGCTGCTGCCTCATCTCCTGGCATAGCCGCAGCTGCTGCCATCCGAAGCGAAGCCGCGCAAAACGGGAAGCTCGTGATACCAGCAGCACGAGCAGCAAAGACACAGACGCATTTTTCGCATGCATCCGAAGCGCAGCAACAGCAGCACGCTGCTTCAGGCGCTGCTCAACTGCGCTCAAGTGGCGGCTAGCCACTGCAAAACGAGAGGCCATCCGCCTAGCACACCCCACACAACAGAAAACGCAGCAACGCCTCTCCATGCACATGCAGCTCCATGCAGATATGCATGCAGCTATATGCATGCACATGCAGACAAATGCATGCAAGAAGTTGAGCACGTCAGATCTGTTACACTCTGTAACAAGGCTGCTTCTACGGGAACACGCACCAGGCAGCAAAGCACCGCCCCACAGCTTCTTGCGTCTTCTGCTCTTTTTTCCGAATAGTGTTAGCTGCTGCCTGCTGCAGCTGCTGCTGCCGCAGCGCAGCAGCCCTCCACTGCAGCCAAAACTGCCGTACAAGAGCATTTTGACGCTTCGAGAAAACGCTCTGCATGCGTTCCTGCAAGGCCGTTTCTGCTTCCCCATGCATGCGCAGCCGGTGCAACGCATGCCGTGCGCTGTAGCGAGCTCCAACAGCAGCTACTCGCAGCAGCTGATGGCGCCGCTGCAGTTGCAACATCCAAAGTCTCCACAGCTGCTGCAGAAGCTTCTGCTGCAGCCGCTGTCGAAGCGCTTCTGCAGTTCGCTCTTCTGTGCGTCTCCGCACGGCTGCTGCCCGCAAGGCAGAGAAAGCAGCCATCATCTGCCGTTCACGCTGCCTTTCCAGCAGCGTCAAGGCGTGTTGCAGCCTCTGCCTGTTGCGTTGCTGACGTTGCTGATCTTCCCGCCAGCTCCTCAAGACAGCCGCGAGACATTGCTGCCTTGCGCGCTGCTGCAGCAGCAAGCCACAGCGCGAGGCTTCGGCGCGCTGCTTCCAGCAAGAAAGGACGCGCCTCAGCCAAGCCTTTAGCACGGCTCCTCGTGCATGCAACACCCTCTGCAGCGGCAAGCGCACACCACAGAGTTCAGAGCCGCTGAGAGTGTCGCTGACGCTGCAAACGGAGAAGAAGCAGAAAAAAGAAAAGGGGGAAAAGAGCACCCCTAGAAGCAGAGAGAGAGACACACACACAAACCGAAGGCAACCTGCGCACTCACCAGCCTCGCGGATACTAGAAGCGTCTGCATTGCATGCAGCACTTGCTGCATGCAGTGCCGTTTCTGCTGCTCTTGCACCGCTAGTTCGAGTCGCCGCAACGTCTCCGCTTGCCGCCAGCTGCTCCATCCCCCACGCAACAACAGACGGCTGCAGCAGGAAGCCACTCTTTGGACTGCTGCTGCTGCTGCGCTGCAACGCTGCTGCTGCTGCTTCCACAGAACGAAAGTGCGCTGCAAGAGACGGCGCCTCAGGTGCTTCTCCACGACGTCTCCCTGCTGCCGCAGCTGCTGCCTCTGGCAGCAGGCTGCTTGCCAAGCAGCAAACAAGGAACGGAGATGCTGCTTTTCACGCCGCTGCTGCAGCAACACCCCCATGTGCTGGAGGGCAGCAGCAGAAGCAGCCACAAACCACCAGAGACGCAGCACGCGTCGGCGCTGCAAGAGCTGACAGACAAACTGAGCTTTTCGCACTTTCCTTCCTTCTCTGCATGCACTCAAAAGGGGAAAACAGGGGGGGAAAGGGAGGGGGTAAAGCGCAGCCAGCATAATTGCAGCAGATTTCTGGCACAAACAGCAGCTGCTGTACGCCCAGGGACGAAGTCACTTCTCAGTCGCAACACAATACCAGTGCAAGCAGCAGCGGCAATAGTACAAGCAGCAGCAGCAATAGTACAAGCAGCAGCAACACGAGCACGAGCAGCAGCACCAACAATGCAAGCAGCACCAATAGTACAAGCAGCAGCACCAATAGTACAAGCAGCAGCACCAATAGTAGAAGCAGCAGCAGCAATACCACTAACAGTGCAAGCAGCAGCAGCAACAGCACAAGCAGCAGCACCACCACCACGCACTGTAAATTTCCACGCAAGGCTTTTAAGGCGCGATGCAGCAAGTGTTTCTGCTGCATCAACTTGGCTGCTTCATTGCAAGCAGAAGATCGACGGACTGCCTGATCAGAAGGCAATGCAGAAAAAGCGACTCCCTCCTTGCATATCTAGCTTGTGAGAAGGCAAGAAGACAGCTGGCGCAACGGTTCGGTTCGTCTTGCGAGGTGTATCAAGCTCTCTGTCGATGCAGACAGCAGCCGAGATACACCCCACACGCTAGTTTCTGCATCAAAGCAGCTGCTTGCTAGCTGCATGCTCACTTGGTAGGTTCGTTGCATCTGTCGAAAAAGGCCTCTCAGCCGCGTCAAACGCAGCGTGTCAGTGGCAGTTTCCAGCTGCTGCCTCTCCTCTGCTGCAACTGCAGTAAAGATGCGCCATCCTCCGAAGGCTCTTTGCTTCAGAGACACCGAACGCTGATGAAACAAACACAAGATGCAGCAGCAGACAGCGCCACGCTACACGACTGAAGCAGCAGCAGCGGCAGCAGCAGCTCTTGATGAAGCAGCAGCTGCTCACAGGCGCTCAGCTGGACGCCAACCTCGCAAAAACGGCAGCAGCAGCAGCAACAATAGTAGCAGCAAAAATAGCAGCAGCAGCAGCAAAAATAGCAGCAGCAGCAAACCTGCTGCAGTAAAGCGTGGCATCGCTGCCTGAATGACGCATAGCGCAAGCAGCGTTGCTTCCATGCACTCCACGTCGAACGTAGCAAGAGAATGCTGCTCAGATTTGCCGTCAACTGATGCTTTACGTTCAGCCGCTGCTGCCAGCCTGCAAAGCTGATCCATACACTGAACGCATCTCGCAGCAGCTGCTGCCGCTGCCGCTGCCGAAACGCTGCAGCAGCTGCTGTCCACTGCTTCCACGACGAGAAACAAAGTTTCAGCAGCTCCTGCAACAAAAAGATTTGCAGCAGCAGCAGCTGGTCTGCACGTACAGCTGAGGTGTCATCGTTTGCGACGCTACAGGCAGCAAACAGCGAGAGCGGCAGCTAGCGACGGAGGCAGCAGCGAGAAAGGAGATATCCTTAACAGCAGCATTAGGAAGAATAACAGCAGCAGCAGCACTAGGAAGAACAAGAGCAGCAGCAGCATTAGGAAGAACAAGAGCAGCAGCGCTAAGAATAACAGCAGCAGCAGCAGCACTAAGAATAACAGCAGCAGCAGCGCTAAGAATAACAGCAGCAGCAGCGCTAAGAATAACAGCAGCAGCAGCACTAGGAAGAATAACAGCAGCAGCAGCACTAGGAAGAACAAGAGCAGCAGCAGCACTAAGAAGAACAAGAGCAGCAGCGCTAAGAATAACAGCAGCAGCAGCACTAGGAAGAACAACAGCAGCAGCAGCACTAAGAAGAACAAGAGCAGCAGCGCTAAGAATAACAGCAGCAGCAGCACTAAGAACAACAGCAGCAGCAGCAGCACTAAGAATAACAGCAGCAGCACTAAGAATAACAGCAGCAGCACTAAGAATAACAGCAGCAGCAGCAGCACTAGGAAGAACAGCAGCAGCAGCAGCACTAAGAAGATCAAGAGCAGCAGCGCTAAGAATAACAGCAGCAGCAGCACTAGGGAGAACAACAGCAGCAGCAGCACTAAGAAGAACAAGAGCAGCAGCGCTAAGAATAACAGCAGCAGCAGCACTAAGAAGAACGGCAGCAGCAGCACTAAGAAGAACAAGAGCAGCAGCACTAAGAATAACAGCAGCAGCAGCACTAAGAAGAACGGCAGCAGCAGCGCTAAGAATAACAGCAGCAGCAGCGCTAAGAATAACAGCAGCAGCAGCACTAGGAAGAATAACAGCAGCAGCAGCACTAAGAAGAACAAGAGCAGCAGCACTAAGAACAACAACAGCAGCAGCACTAAGAATAACAGCAGCAGCAGCAGCACTAAGAACAACAGCAGCAGCAGCAGCGCTAAGAATAACAGCAGCAGCACTAAGAATAACAGCAGCAGCACTAAGAATAACAGCAGCAGCAGCAGCACTAAGAATAACAGCAGCAGCAGCAGCACTAAGAATAACAGCAGCAGCAGCAATAAGAAGAACAACAGCAGCAACACTAAGAATAACAGCAGCAGCAGCAACACTAAAAACAACAACAGCAGCAGCAGCACT